TTTTTTGGAAATCCGGTTGCTTCGGGGGATATGGAGAGCAGTGTTAGTTTTGGTGGTGAAAACAGTTTCAATCAGAGGGCTGGAGAGGATGATGCAGTTCGCATGCGAAAGCAATATCTCCAAGGTAATGATCCGACAAACGCCCTTTTAACCTTTGGAATTGTACCAAATGAACCAGACGCCCATTCAATCGATACGAAGATCGCAGAACTGCGCAAATCAAGAGAGATAGGAGCCCGACTGATAACCCTCCACATCGCCCTAGGCCATTACGACATATTTCACCAATGCACAATCCAGAAACTCGCCGATGCGAACCTCCTAGTACCATATCTGGTATATAGCCATGACGCTTCGATGACAGATAGCGAATTGGGTGCGATACGAGAATCCGGAGCTGGGATCGTGAGCACGCCTGATACAGAGATGCAAATGGGGACGGAGGATCCGGGGAGTTTGGTGTTCAGGGCAGGGGATATGGGGTGTCGGGTTGGGTTGGAGTTGGATATTACGTCGAATCAGGGGTGTGATGTTTTGGTGCAGATGAGGCTTCCGTTGCAAATGCAGAGGGCGCTGGAGAAGACGAAAAATGAGTCCGGGCCTCCGATTAAACTCATACGTAAAAGAATGGATATCCTCCGAATAGTAAAACTAGGCGAAGCACTACAACTAGACTAGTCAATCGGTTCCCATTACTCCCGGGGGAAAAAGCCGATCTTATGATGTTTCGCTGCGATGATATCGGTACCACATCTGTTGTGGATCCCGTGGGAACGGTGGTGTTTCATGCGTCTGTGAAACAGATCGATACGGTGTTGATTAATGGGAGGGCTGTTAAGCGTGGTGGGGAGCTTGTTGGTGTGGATTATACGGGTTTGTGTGGTGAGGTGCAGGGTAGGTCTGAACGGCATAGGAGGGAGGCGGGGGGTGTGGATATCAAATGGGCAGGGGAGTTTTGGAGGGGTTGTCTAGAGGGCAGTAGCTCTCACAAGTGCGTTGATGAAAAGATAGATTAAATACCATGAATCTAATCAGCAATTCTAAACAGATATGTATATGCAAGTAAATAACCAGCAGCTATATGCAACATGATCGATAGATACGCAGGAAAAAGAAAACAAGTCTTTTCTGTTTTCTTTCGCAAGGGTGGAAGAAAGTATGTACGAAGAAATCGACATGCTATTTCACCATGGGTATAGAACGAGCGTCTTGATGAACCTGACAGAACCAAATTCAATGTATGGAGAACACGGAACGCAGAATGGGGAAATACATTAGAAGGAAATAGTATATCGAAGAACAATGAGGGAGATATGACGGAACAGAAACAAACAGAAATTAGACAGAATGGCAATATGTACGATGAGCTTCGGCAAAGTTGAAGCTCAACTTACCCTGTTAACTCTCAATACCCATACCCACTCCCATCATACGCTGTCGTCCGTGCAATTCCACTACCGTGGCTTGGGCGTCTGTAGAAGTCGCCCTGGCCATCATCGTGGCCCATGGCGGACTGGTACATGAGAGCCTCTTGAGGCCAGTCCTCAAAATCTTCTTCCACAGTCTCAGGCTGGGACCTGACGTCCCGCGATCCTGGTCGGGAATTGCTGAAGTGCTGTTCGGTGCCACCTGGGATGCTGCTGAAGCGCCTTTGCTGGTTGGAGAGGTTTGAAAGGGAGGCGGTTCGGATGGGCAGGGATTGTGGTTGACCCTGGGGTTGATTGTTGTGTTCTGGATCAGGGCCGTGGCCATGGGCGCCCCCTGTGGTGTTTGCAAAGTCGCCGAAGTTGAAGCCGAGATCGGGTTGCTCGATTGTTGTGGGGGTGCCGGCATTTTCTGGCCGGTAGGTTTCGTCTGTGGCAATCTTTGGTGGTTTTGGCGGTGGTGCAGTTGGTTCTGCGATTTGTGGGACTGAGGGGGGTGCTTCGGAGACAATGGGAATGCTAGAGGCAATAGAGGGTTCCATTTGTGGTTGTGGTTGATGCTGCTGCTCCTCGTCGTAGCCAGTGTAAACGGGATATTCCTCCGGCACAGGTGCTGGCGAGCGAATGGTCCCGACAGCCTCGTGCTCTGGTACCATCACAGACCGCCGCAAGCTACCCATAATGCTCGGGGGTTTGGAACTCCGGCTCATCCGATGCTGCGGTGCTTCTGTAAGAGGGTCTTCAGGACCTTCCACGTCACGGATGCTGAATTGGGCGATGGTCCGCAGCTTGCGGGTCACCCACGATGCCAGAACCTTACCGCGTTGCTTCTCACCCAGACGAGAGCGAGGGAAATCGCCCTGGGAAACGAATGCCACAATGTCTGCGACCACTTGGTGCTCGTTCAGAACCGCATCGACAATTACTGGGACGAGAGATGCCAGATAGGCCTTCCTTGTCACTTCGACGACAACGACGATCAAGCCGCCTGCTTGGAATACAGCGCTTCCACCAGGCATAATATTACGGTGGCATTTCTCGACCGAGTTCTCAATATCCATGGGGAAATGATTGAGACCGTTCACCTCAAAGGTCTCACCAATTCCCCCAAGCACGAACAGGACTTGCATCTCCACAGGCTGGCCACCGGGACCAATAGGTCTAGTCACCGTGTGAAGGAATCCAAGATCACCCATACGGACGTAGGGTACACTGGGGTCTCCGTCAATTATCCGACCATTGAATCGCTCCGAGTCGAAATCTTGCTTCGACCCGTAGAAGGACTTGGCACAGGCATCAGACTGGACCCAAATCTCACCATATTCGCCAACATGGGACAGTGTACAGGTCTCGGGGTTGACAATCGCTATTTGAGTGTTCACAGGCACCATTCCAGAGTCTTGAAGGAGCAGGGCAGTCGGGTCTGAATCCGGATCGACAGGAATGACAAGTCCGCGACGCAAAGCCCGAATATCGAGCCACACTTCGACAGGTTCAATGCACATGTATGACCTTGTCACGACCATGGGGTTGAGCACGTGCGAATACACCATGTTGATAGCAGTCCGGTCTAAGCCGGCAGAGGCGAAGTGAAGGCGTAATTTCTGGTAGATATCAGGTCGTGGACGGGTATCAGTAGAGATCATCAAGTTCTTCAGTTCTTGCAGTTGGAAACCCTTTCCAGCCATTGCACTCATAGCATAGTCCAGCATCTGGGCAGTTGCATAAGTATCCTTGATCTTGTACCTTGCAAGACTAACGAACAGCGACATGGGGTTTTGCGCAAAGTCGACCGGCGACACAAGGTATGTTGGCGCTCCGACATAGATACCCATCAAGCAGGTGTGAAGGAAACCGAGACCTAAGGTGCTGCGCACACTACCCAATACCGGTCTCGAACTAGTCATCTGGCATGTCTCCTTCTGCACCTTGCACATGTCCATGACAGTATCATGACCAATCTGGACTGAGATTCTTCTCTGGTCCGGCGTCCAGTAGGTCCAGATCATTGCCGGCTGGTTTGCCTGGAGCCAAGTGTCTCTCACGGTATAGCCGAGTTCTTTGCAGCCATGCGATTGCTTCGAGGGCTTCGTGGTGTTGTAGATAGCCGGCACCCCCAACCGAAGAACTTGCGCCGACTGCTTGATGTGCTGGGCGACAATCTTCTGTCTCATAACGTGGTCGACATCGCTGTTGACAATGATGGCTTTGACGCTGAAGTCGTTGATAACATGAAGGAACGCGGGTGCGTCTTCTGAGAGACGGTTCTGGTCAATAGGCGCCAGGGGAATGACAACCACACCCAAGCAGAAGCATGCATGAACAGCATAGATGTATTCTTCGGAGTGCGTATACATAAGCACCAGATGATCACCCGGCCGAACCTTGACTTTGTTACGCAGGTAGGTTGCCACAGCGGCAACCTTCAAATCGAATTTCCTCCAGGTGATGCCCTTGCCTTCTTTCCCACGGCCATCAATTGAGCAATATGCCAATTCTTCCGACTGGCGGGAAACACGCCATTGGAAAAGATCCACAATATTCGAGAAGTTGTTTAGGGGTGTAGAGGTACGATCGTCCATAACCACGTCACGGTAGTCTACGCCGGAGTACTGCTTCTCTTGCATGGCCAGCATCTCTTGTCTAGCCATCAATGCAGTAGGCGACCAGATGCCTCCAACCGGATCGATACCAACTGGAAGGTTCATGACGGATCTCTCGACTCCAAATTTGACATGCACGCAAGGCAGCGTGCCAGCGTCGAATTCCTTGCGACAGAGCATGTTGCCAATCTCCCGTCTTCCGTTCTTGGTAACACGAGGAAGGGTGTTGGGAGCTGTGAGAAGGACACAGTAGACCCGTAGGTGATGTTCATGGTACAGGACCTCCATGCATCGTTCCGCCAAAGACTCTAGCAGAACCGAGTCCAACTGTCGTGGAGGACCGCCTGACGTCGTTGGTGCAGTTGAGGCAGCATATGATTCTAGCACAACGATTGGAAGATGCTCTTCATTGACAAAGACATCGAATGCTGTGCAATCATGGATCTTCGGGAGTGTCTTCAAGATGCTGACAATCATGTGCTGGACGAAGAAATAACGATGCTCAATAACCTCCTGTCCATGCTCAACCCATTCTACCTTCTGGCGAAGTCGATCCTCATACAGGCCGAGAACAAAGACCTTGCCTTCTATCACACAGCCAAGTAGACCCGTGCGCAGAAATTCAGGCTCCACCAAGATAGGCGTCGGGTTAGCCTCCTCAAACTTGTATGGCCGCGCATGGAAGATTGCCTCGGTGTGTTTTGGTAGTGCCCAGAAACCGCCAGAAAGAGACGGCGAGTCAACCCAGATTTCACCTATGACATTCGGAGTACACAGTAAGTTGGTTTCAGGGTCGACGACAGCAAGTGTGGCATCAGGAATAGGGTAACCGAATGAGCCAACACGAACGGCATGTGGCATTGACCCAGCATACTTTCTAGCGTCATCACCCATGGCCAGCACCACGATTTCGTTGCTCTTAAGTGCTTCTTTGTCGAGGAGCACCTCTCCAAGCTCAGTCTTTCCTTGCTCCTTTGGGGCCGGTGCCCGCGATCCACCGCCCAGCAGACTACTTCCGAATCCACTTTTACTCCCCTGTTTTTCTTGTGCCTTCTTTTCCTCCTCCGCTTCCCTCTTCGCCTCTGGGCGTTCTGCTGGGTCCATCTCATGGGTAAGTGGGCACCCCATTCGTTCTTCACCACCAAGCCAATCGCGCACACTGATCGCCATGCCACCATGCTCAGGTAGACACAGCATCGGAGCGACAATTTCTCTGGCTCTTGGGTTCCTCATTGGCCTTAGCCATCGATCCGCGAGTATTTCGTGGAATTCTGAGTCGACAGTGAGCGTGTCAATCAGACACAGCTTGACGCTTCCAAAATTGGGCTCTGCGTTCTTTTTGTAGTGTCGTGTCGCCATTGGGTCCTGCTGGTAGTTGTAGGCAGCTATCTTTAAACCAGGGTAATCCGCCACCATGAGTGATGCTTTGTACTTGGTGATCAAGTGAGCGTAAAGACCGGGAGTCTCGACTACTCGGTCTTCAAGCCAGACAGTGGTATGGCCACCATAAACGGCGAGAAGCACGCCCAAGATCATGCCAATACCCTGTCTAGGGTCCAAGTAGCTTATAATCGTTTCGCCCTGAGGGCGCGCATTCTTGTTTCCGGGGACGGTGGAAATCATCGCACTGAGACATGCCATCTGGTGCATAATTGTACGGTGGCTCATGACAACACCACGCATATCACCCGTAGGAGCCCGCGAGAATTCAATGTAAGCCAAATCCGGAACCACTAGCGGTGGGTTATCGTCCTTCTTCTTTGGATGGTAGCTTCCGAATTCGTTGGTTTTCCACCATTCTACGCCTCGAGGCCAGTTCAGCTTCTGGGTTGTAATGTCTCTTTGGAAGCTCTTGAGGTTGTTCTCTGTTGTCAATGCAAGATGCGCCTGAGTCGAGGTGAGAACCAAGTTAAGACTCTGATAGTCCTCAAGGCTGTTTATCGGAACAGCGACTACGCCAGCAATAAAGCATCCCATAAGAGCAACTGCGAACTCAATAACCTCGGAATCGCGATATATCAAGGCCACACGGTCGCCCCGGTAAAGGTTACTCTTGTCGCGAATAACCTGCGCCACCTTCTCCGCACGGCTGGCGAGCTTGTCCCAGGTGATTGATGCGATTTCCTTGCCTTTTTGATCCAGAACCCAGTAGGCAGGCTGTTTGGCATGTGCCCGTGCCCGATGCCGCAAAACCGTAGGAATATTATCAAAGTTGGACATCGGGATGTTCTTATCGTGCGGGTCATTGACTGCAAACGGGATATCTCGAGGTTCCAAGGGAATCAGATGGTCGACTGCCGCGCCGTGGGGTAAGTCAGATGCTGGGATAAGCGGCGGGGCCATATTTGCAGTCGGAGAGAAGGCGTCTGATTGGGAATACCGATGGAAGCCGCCTCCATAGCTGTCTCTGTAGTCATCGTGCTGCTGTCCAGCAAAATCGGAAAAAAACCCTTGCTGCGCATCAAGCATCATCGACTGTCGCCTGCCCGTAGCCATTGGTATTTCATACCCACCCACATCATACGCTCCTGCATGCTCATCTATATATTCTGAGTGGACGCCGGGGTTGAATGCATAATTCTGGCTCATCAAAGTCGCTGTCCTTGAATCCTCTGGAACCATCGGGGTAGGCTGGGGTCTCGGAAGGAAAAGGGAATCATATGAGCCGGTTGGTTGCATGCGCTCCATTGGTTGCAGCATCGAGTTGTCTCCCTGATAATAAGCTGTCCCATTGCCGTCCACTGGTTCTTGCATCTCCCCACTGTATTTTTGTTCATACCCGAAACTTCCGCTGCCCTGTATGCCCTCGTATCCGCCTGAAAAAGACGGGGTGTGTGCACCGTAAGCCGTAGACTCGGCCGTTGGCGGACGGACGTTTAGTATCGCTGGCGGAGTATTCGAAGAGTTAGACATGAATGAAGCTTGGCCCACTGGGCTAGGTGCATGGACATCCAAGCCATTGTTTGGTCCGAAGAATGACGACAGAAGGACGGTGCGTCGTTTCTGGTATCTTTACAGGGATTAGCCGGACGACCTTATGGTATTGACATCACATATATGGGCGATTCGCAAATATTTTCGTCAGGTATATTGTCGATATGCAATAAGGATCTGCCTTACCCTTTCTCCGTGATATCACCCTCCTGGAAAATGAGGCCCAAGGTTAGCCAGAGACGTACACTCGGATGTTCCACGACAGGAACCCATTACTTGTCACCCACGTACCTCATATTCCCTATCAAGGTCGCGCAAAGCGGCCTGAATATCGGGATTGTCTTCCGCCATGTTCACAAAAGCGCTGGGTCGTCACAGATCGGAGGGGGTCTTTCATTCGAACGCACATGCGAGTCGGCGGATAGAGGTGAGGGATATCTTCATCGCAGGATTCTTGAGCAAGCGGTTTCGAGGCACCCAAGGGAAACGAATCGAGTCCCCTATTTCAACCAGCGGCCCCTCGCAAAATGAGTGATATGTTATGTCTCACTTTGGTTACTCCGCGCCGAAGAGCCACAACGTCACCTGCAGTTGGGCGGTGCTGCGGCGGTCTGCAGAGACCAGATATGCAAATCGACACCAATCAGGGGTTGTTAAGGGGCTGCACCGCCACAGAGCGGCTAAAGCTCAAAATGGAAATTGGACCTTCACGCATTCAAGAAGCATTATTATCTGATTTGCAGTAATACGCTTTTTGTATACGCTTCTTAGTTGCGCTATACGAAGTATGGAGAGACAATAGCTTTGTTTTGTACAGGGACATAGCTCTACTAAACGTACTATTGAGTATGGAGGACGGAGTATCCTGGTCCGCACCTCTACGGAGACGTTTCAAGTACACGGTAGAATTGTGAATGAATCGGTATTATGTTACATGCAACTGTCGAGACGAATTCAATACACCTATTATCGTTCACATTGTCATCATATTGCACAGCTTCAATATTGGATATATTCAAATGCACGTGACCATTTGATGCTCATAGTTAACACTAACCTAATACAGCTTAGTCCTTCCCGATCAACTAGCGTACCGCCCACGTGATTCCTATCCGCTGATTGGGCCCGGCTCTGCCCTAAGCCCACCCACAGAACTAAGCGAGGCGCACCCTCGAATTTCCTTTTGTGCCCAGCGACACATTTCAGCCGACCGACTGCTATCGTCGACATTTGAAGGATCACCCAACGACACCGTCCGTCACCTTTCACGAAACCCTCCCCCCCGACAACAGGTGCATACGGCAAAATGTCTGACCACGGGGAAGTCGAGGTCGAGAACCCTACTGCGGCCTACACCATGCTGCCCAAGGATGCTCTTGCGGAGATGGGCTCTGTGAAGCTCTTCAACAAGTGGAGCTACGAGGATGTTGAGATCAGGGACATCTCCTTGACGTAGGTGCTTCCCAGTTTGCGAATTCTCTGCGTGTCGAGGAATGTTTTGGGGTGGTCAAATTCTGTCCATGCGAAAGCGAACGACGAAAGAGGCGGATTATAGTGGTGGAAACGCGCGACAAAATACAGAGAAAACAAGGACGAGTTGAATCGAATGCAAGGATGGAATTGCTGACTTGGGTCTACGAACAGCGACTACGTCCAGATCCGTTCTCCCGTCTACCTCCCTCACACCGCTGGCCGTTACGCCGCCAAGCGTTTCCGCAAGGCGCAGTGCCCCATCATCGAGCGTCTCACCAACTCGCTCATGATGAACGGCCGCAACAGCGGCAAGAAGCTCATGGCCGTCCGCATTGTTGCCCACGCTTTCGAGATCGTACGTGACCGCTGAACCTGAGAATCAACGGACTTTGTGTTGCGCACAACGAGTGCGGCACCATTTGAAGGATGCAGTTTGCTGATATTTCAACTTTCGAGTAGATCCACATCATGACCGACCAGAACCCCCTCCAGGTCGCCGTCGACGCCATTGTCAACTGCGGTCCCCGTGAAGACTCCACCCGTATCGGTTCCGCCGGTACCGTCCGTCGCCAGGCCGTTGATGTCTCCCCTCTCCGCCGTGTCAACCAGTCCATTGCTCTTTTGACCATCGGTGCCCGTGAGGCTTCTTTCCGTAACATCAAGAGCATTGCTGAGTGCTTGGCTGAAGAGCTCATCAACGCCGCCAAGGGAAGCTCCAACTCCTACGCCATCAAGAAGAAGGACGAGCTCGAGCGTGTTGCCAAGAGCAACCGGTAAAGAGGTGTTGTTGGGTGTCTCCGTTTGGTCCTATTTATTATGTTTACTGGAGTGGACGGGATTTCATTAGGATTCAGTCGATTGGCATACATCTGCGCGACTGTAAATACCAGTTAAAAAAGCAGTCACGAGAGGGAGAGATCCTTTTTTTAAAACAAAAAAAGAAGAAATTCGGACGGTTTTCTTCTAGTAGTTGAGATGCGATCATGAAGACGGCTTTTTTTTTCTGTTTAAATCTTAAACCACGATTAATGCCATTGCTGCAGTGAACGATCTATATCATATATACCTAACTGTAAATTTGTAATCCAAAATCGTTCGAGACCTTCAATTCAAATTACTTCCATTATGGTAAGGCGCGACAGTCTGTACTGATCGCTTATCGATAAGACGCCAAGCGCCAAAAAAATTTCGGAGCTAGTTATCAACACCGCAACCAACAACCACCACTTCAATCCTCCTCACGCACTGTGATATTGAGGATTTTCCAGAGGGAAAAAATGGTGAAAAGAAAGCTTGGTGCCTTGGAAAAAGTCGAGGCAGATTTGTGAGCAACTACTCTTCTTATCTCCGGAGCGCGACACTTCATGCGTATGGGGAAGTTTTCGACCATCACTAACATCTACTCTCCAGGCCTAACCTGCAGCACAAAGTCCGGCGGGATCCTAAGTAAGTTGTTCGCACTATCTTCCTGTGTTTTGTTGTCTAGTGCAGTTACTGACAATTACGCTCTTTCCAGGTCCTACGTCGAAGATTTCCGCGCACAGCACTACCAATATGAGAGTCACCGCGAGATTTTCATGGCAGCGCCCACGGCCGCCACCGATACTGGAGTCATTTCTCTAAGGGAACTGATCGATTTCATATCTCATGTGGCCGACTGCTATCCGGATATCACCAAGGACTTCCCGCAGCAGCTCATCGACATGCTGACACAACATCACCTGGTTCTGGAGCCGGAATTGCGCGAGAAAATTGTGGGCAGTTTAGTGCTTCTACGGAAGAAGGACATCATGGATTCGGCGACGTATGTCGATACTTTACGATGCCATGAGGAGTAGCAATGCTGACTTTCCTCTGCAGACTCCTTCAGACACTGTTTCCGATCCTCATCTCTACCCCAAGTAAGACACTACGAGCACTTCTTTTCCAAAAGATTCTCATGGATCTCCGTACATCCAACTCGAAGACAACGAACCATAAGCTCAACAAGACTATGCAAACTGTCCTTTTCAACTTGGTTACATCAGACCGCACTTCCTCCAAGGGCGTCTGGGCCGTCAAGCTCACCCGCGAGCTATGGAAACGCCAAATCTGGACTGATGCTAAGACAGTCGAGGTTATGAAGGAGACATGTCTTTCGGAGCATGAGAAAGTCGTCACCGGTGGAGTTCGCTTCTTCTTGGGTGGAGACAAAGAGCGAGAGGAGATTGAGGATGAAAGCAGTGACGAAGAGACCGTTGATGTCGGACGTGTCAAGCACCAGGTCGGTATCAACAAGAAGACCAAAAAGAAGTCGCGCGCCATCGAAAAGGCCAAACACAATGTTAAGAGAAAGGAGCGCAAGAAGAACCAACCTCACCCTCTGAACTTCTCTGCCCTGCATCTCTTGCACGACCCCCAAGGGTTTGCGGAGACTTTATTCCAGAAACACCTGCAGAACACCAAGTCCAATTTGAAACTGGAGCAGAAACTGCAAGTGCTGCAGCTCGTGACTCGCTTGGTCGGGTTGCACCAGTTGCATATTATGCCGCTCTACTCTTACTTCCAGAAGTATCTCACACCCCGACAACCCTCTGTAACCTCATTCTTGGCCTCGCTCGCGCAGGCGTCGCACGAATTGGTTCCTCCGGATGTGCTTGAACCTCTAATCCAGAAGATCGCGAACGAGTTCGTTTCTGAAGCCTCCGCATCAGAGGTCGCCACTGCCGGTCTCAATGCTATCCGTGAAGTCTGCGTGCGTCAACCACTTGCGATGAATGAAACTTTGTTGCAAGATCTCGTCATGTACCGGAAGAGTAAAGACAAGGGTGTTGTGATGGCATCAAGAGGATTGCTCAGTCTCTACCGAGACGTGGGCGCAGATATGCTCAAGAGGAGAGACCGGGGCAAGGAGGCATCGATGAACTTGCGGTCGGGAGACCGGAAAGAGAGACGATTTGGTGAACAAGAAATCGGCGCGATTGAAGGACTGGAGCTTCTAGAGAAGTATAAGGACGAAGAGCGCAGAAGAAAGAACATCGAGAAGGGCCTTCCTTCAGATGCAGAAGACGACGGAGGGGAGAATGAAGAAGAAAACTGGGCCAATTGGAATGTGGACGATGATGAAGACAGCGATGATTCTGGTGGCTGGATCAACGTACAGGATGATGACGATATCAACCTGAGCGATTCCGATGACGAAAACGAGAAGAAAGACGGCCCCCCCAACAAGAAGCCCAAGCAAGACGAAAACGACGCCGAGAAGGAGAGAATTGATACCGAGAAGAAGATGCTCAACCTCGCAACAACCCGCATCCTGACCCCCGCAGACCTTGCCAAACTCCAAGAACTGCGCACCGAAGCCGCTATCAACGCCCAACTCCCTACAAAACGAGGCCAGAACAACAACCCTGCATCCCGCCACGCAGACGACCCCTTGACAGCCGCAGAAATTGAGGGTCTCAATGCCCTCTCTGCCGGCAAGCTCACGCGCGAGGAGAAGATTGCGCACGCCAAGGAAGGAAAGACCGATCGGTCCGAATTCAAGAGTTCTACTGCGAAACGCCAGGAGCGCAAGGTTTCTGAGGGCAAGAGTACGACGAACAAGGAGAAGGCTCGTCGGAAGAACTTTATGATGACGCTGGGTAAGGCGAAGAGTAAGAACAAGCGGAGTCTCGTGGAGACGAGGAATGTTCTCAAGGCCCATCAGGACAGGCAGAAGAGAGGTGGACGGAGAGGAAACATCGGTATATAGGGTATATTTGCTTGTATGTTGTATATAATTTGTTGGAATATACAAAAGGCGTTTCAAAAGTTCAAAATTATTCATAAAAATATTCAAGCAATAACCAGCCCCAGATTCATGTCCATTCTTTCTTCTTCATAATGCATCATGCTCATCCTGCGTAGCATAGGAACTCGAAGTACCCAATTACTGGCATCCAATACCGACTGTACATGTGAGAAATCGACCTAAATCACCAGTTAAGTGATAGAAAAGATACCGTCATCAAGCATCCAAGATTTGATTGATGAGCATCCTACACCCTTAATTTATAAATGGATGCTGCCCATACCTTGTGTCAACGCCAAATGAAGAGACTGATAATGGCAGACAGTTGAATCAAAACCCGCAAAGCATGCCGTCGAATAGACGACTACACCCCCAACACCCAAAGGTGAAACTCACCACCAGATTTCCACCTCCACTCACATCTACCTTAGTCCTAATCCGCGTCCACGCTGTCTCTCTCAACTGCCGAGGCGCCAACATTGTGAATAGCGGAAACCCATGGTCAGTTATACCCAACGTTATTCTCTGTAATGACGCAGCAGGCGAGGTAATGACAGTAGGCGAGAAGGTGAAGACCCTAGTGGTCGAGGATCGAGTGGCTTCGATAACCGATAGAGAACAATACGGTCGAGTGCTAGGACGGTCCTCGCTGGCTGCAGGTGAGGGTGGTGTACTGGCCGACTATCTAGTATTTGATGACGAGAAGATGTCCAAGCTTCTGGATTATCTGGGCTGGGTTGGTGCTAGTTTGGTACCTTGTGCTGGAGTCACGGCATGGACTGCGTTGAAAGATGTCGGGGTTGGCAAAAGCGTGTTGATTTAAGATATGTGCATCTTACTACTACGGATGGTGATAGTCACCGGCGTTGGAAAACGTACCGATGGCGTTAGTATGTTCGCTCTCAAACTCGCTTGAGCGGCAAGCCTCAAGGTGACCTTGAACTCTTTCAGTGATGAGAAACTCAGCAGAATGAAGAACCAGTTTCATAGTCCACCGCTCCTAACCATCAATTATGCTACAAATCCCGGATAGCACGAAGATGTCCTTGAACACGACTTGGGCGTCGGAGTCGATCTGGTTATTGAAGTCGGGGGTACCGGATCATTGGTAAAGAGCATGAAATGTACACAATGCGGCGGGACGATCAGCCAGGTTGGATATCTCGATAAACAGGGACCCAGCCTATTAGCAGAGCTGCTTCTCCTCGTTGTTGACATAATATTAGTTTTACGGTGAGGGATCATCGTGGTGGCAGATTAACAGCGGAAAGCTAGCAACATTAGCGGCATCAATGCCCTATCAAAGCGTGATATGGACGATTTTTGGACGGTCCTGTCAGCTACACAGAGACAGTTTGACGATATTATAGACTTGATATGTTCGTTCGATATGGCTGACTGGGTATTTGGCAGGGTAAACAGGTTGGGAAGCTTTTCATTCGTTTGTAAATCAGAATGCAGAACTACGTTCAGGATATATTTACTGCATTTGATACAAGCTAGGAATATAGTTCGTATTCACTCTTTATCTAATCTATCTTTATTATACTTCTAGCTTTGCTTCGTTTCCATTCTCTCGACCTATCTTCTCCTCAATTACCATTACCTTCACTCGCATCTACCAAGGGCTTGAATCATCTGAAAAAAAAAAAAAAAAAAAAAAAAAAAAAAAA